ATAGAGCTCTTAATTCTTCAAGAAATTACGTATTCATGCCAAAAGTTATAAAAAAAAAAAAGATAATTTACGAAATTAAATTAGTGAAATTATAAAACTAAGATAAAATTTAAGTCAAATATATTGATTGAGATAATGGAACAGTTCCGTGGATAAAATTTCTTCTTTTATTGAGTTAGTCAAATAAGATCAACAATCATTATTTTCAAGAACTTATGCTTTTTCTTTAATTTTTATTTTATAACTCGAATATAATTTTTAATGTAATATATACGTTTTAATATAATATTGGCACAATTCGTAATGTTTAAAATATATATACTCGTCGAGTTGGAGTCCGGAAACAAGGTAATAACTAATTGAACCCAAGCCACCAAAATATGTGGTAAAAAATGGCGAACCAATCTCTGTAAAGTGCATGAAATAAATGCGCTATACATGGACAGGGAAACGACCAAATTTAACATCAGTGTGCTAGCATTGGGATGTATAGCACATAAAATAAATGCGCTACATTTTCATGAATGTAAGCATATCCGCTCCAGCAGCGTGTGCCTCGCCTTGGTCACACGGCAAACCCTCTGCAACACCCTCCACGGGTGCCTCACCACCCCTTCGTTGGCCACCCTGTCTGCGCTGACCACCCCGGCCATGCTGCCACCCCGTGCTCTTTGGCCATGCCTAGCACGTCTACCACGGGTTTGGGGCACGTATGGTCCATGATGGTAATTTTTTGGTGGAATGTATGCAAAATCAAAACCTAACCGTGCATCGGCTCGTGCAGCAACCAATGTCGCAGCAGCAACTGCAGAAACCTGACGACCCCACTGGTGCAATAGTAGTGCTTCTCCGTCGCCTAGATGTTGCTGCATCTCTAGGCCCATCTAGTGAATATCGTGTAAGCCCACAACCTGCATAAAATGTAGCATATTAATTATAAAAATTAAGTTAATCCAATATTATATGTAAGTAGATCAAATAACGTACTAGTGCCTCGTGCCTCCCGGCGTATGGAACGTATCGGCGACTCTCCCGATGATCAGGATTACCAATCAAAGTACGAGTAACACGATGATACCAAGCCATGTACTTGTCAACGTCAACACCGTCATGTGGATGGTCTGGTGGAAACGTAAAAAGCCTCAGACCCCTTTCCTCTATCCGGGCCTCGAGCCACGCCAAGTACTCCCGGTCAACTCGACTACGATCATCCCGTTCGTACTGAGTGGCATGGCAAGTGGGATGGGCAGGTATATGTTGTGGTCGGCCAAACTGTCGCAAGACTCGCCCCGTCGGATGATGCTCCACTATATCAAGGCGGATCAGCGGGACCTCAGAAAGCCATACGGCTCGACCTCGTGAGCAGTACATTGGCAAGGTGGAAATGATCTCATTGGTATATGGCCTCCATACGAACTTTTGAGAAAACACAAGACAAATAAGTTAACACAAGACGAATAAATTATTAACAAACGTACTAAGTCGAATATTTGCCTGATCACCATCCAAGAGATCCAATATATCCCTGTAGAGCGGGAGGTGATGTCGAGCCTCGACGTCGCGGACGCAGCCTCTCCTATCAACCTACCTCCTCGCATGGGGTAGTGGCGGTGGTGATGGTGCATCCAGATCTAATGGTCGAAGAGGGGGTTGTATCTGCAAGAATCTCTCCCAAGACCAAACCTAATATTCATTGTGGACGTAAAATTTGTATTTTAATACATATATAATATTCCTAAAAAAATTGACAATGATTATCACCTGTAGAAGCGGAAGGAATCCAGCAACGTCTCTCACGCTATCCATCGACGCCCTACATAACTGCCTATACAGGTACGCTAGAACGGCACCGCCCCACTGTACAGCGGTAAGTCGTCTAGCCGCTCCAGATGCGCCAAGAAACGTAAGCTCACGAGGTTTCCTGATGTGTTCGGGAAAAAAATCCCACCAAATATCATCAACAACAATAGCCTAAACTGCTGCTCAATACACTCATTCGGGGTCTGATCTGTGATGTGCTCATGTAATGCCTCCAAATGCTGCTTAACAAGCAATAACTGTAACCGGCTAACCCCACTAATAGCAGTCTCCTCAGCCGGACGGAATCCCGTGAGCCTCTCCAACAGCTGTAGATACTCGAGCCTCCTAAACTCCCTAATCGCAGGCGGGGAATGTACCGCAAGACCGTCAATGGACAATCCAAACATAACCTCCACATCCTGTAGCGCGTGATGGTGGCCTCGCCGGTGGGCAAATGAAATGTGTGTGTCTCCGGACTCCAATGCTCGATCAAAGCCGTGATCAACGGCCAGTCGGATTGTAACCGACCGACCTCTATAACTAGGTAAATACCAGTCCGAGTCAGGCACTCGACAGTACGATGATGTAGTGGGTGCTCCCTGATAAGCTCCCAAAATTCGTCAATGCGTCGTGGCGGAAGTTCTAACTAAGTAAATCTCCATCCCATATACGCGAAGACCTATGGCCCGCCTGTAGCGTAAGTAGCTCACGTGAAATGGGTCCGGGATGAACACTTGGTCGATCCATGATGATGTCTGTATATTGAATAATGTTAATTAAACGTATGATTATCTTACTTTTTTCATAGCGAAGGTTTTTATTTATTACTCTTGTTTGAGAGTATAAGGAATGTTATTTAAGCATATGGAGTATTATTTATCTTTTATTTAATTCATAACGATTTATACGTTAGTTTTTTGATTTGACGTTAAGAGTAACCTTTGTACTGATAACTATCCAAATTTTTTATTCGTCAGTCAAAGAACCGTACAATATTTTATTTATTTAACCTATCGGGATATCTTGAAATATTTAATTGATTAGTTTAATATGGAATATTATTTATTCTTTTTTTAATTCATAACGATATATACATTGGTTTTTAGATTTTACGACAAAAAGTCAGTAGAGTCACCTTACTGACAACTATTCAATTTTTATTGTCATTTAAAGAATCCTAAAATATTTTATTTTTTTAACTTATCGGGATATCTTGAAATATTTTTATTAACTAATTTGATATGAAGTATTATGCATCGTTTATTTAATTCATAATGGTTTATACATTAATGTTTTTGATTTAACGATAAAAATTCGGCAGAGCCTTCTTTGTACTGGCAACTACGAAAATTTATATTCGTTAGTCAAAGAACACTAAAATATTTTACTTGTTTAACTTATCAGAATATCTTGAAAATTTTTATTAGTTAATTTGATACAAAGTATTATTTATTATTTATTTAATTCATAACGGTTTATAGGTTAGTTTTTTGAATTTCACGTAAAAAAGTTGGCAGGATCTCCTTTAAACTGACAACTATTCAATTTTTCATTCGACAATCATATAATCCTAAAATATGTTATTTGTTTAACTTATCGTATTGTGATTGATAAGTATATGATTATACTTTTAGTTCAACAACTGAAATACAACAAAGGGCTAAGGTTTTTTTTTTTTTTT